ATGCCTTTGGTGAGCCGGGGGGGGGGCTTTTGAGCACTCTTGCCCCCTTTGATTCTCGTTGGGACTATCACCCCCTGGGCTTGGAGGATTGTTTCCTTAAGGAACTATCCACTTGTCTTGGACACCCAGTTCCCCAACTCTCCAGGACCCCAGGGCCCTTCCTATTAATCTCTTCAACTCATTGGAGTTGGCCCTCTTGAAGTCAAGGGCTACTGCCTTGCTGCAGGCCCTTGACACCCTGCGCTGGATGGTGAATTCCCGTAGGCGATGATCACTGTCACCCAGGCGGTCGAGGACCTGGAGTCCCCTCACCAGGTCATCGCCTGTGGCCAGGACCAGGTCCAGCAGGTGGTGGGACTGTGCACCTCCTGGGTTAGATGGAGGTCCAAGAAACCTTCGTGAGCGGTCTGACCCAGCTGACTGCTCCTCCCAGCAGATGTCCGGGTAATTTAGGTCACCCACGACGACTACATGCCTTGCCTTAAGTGCCTCTGCAAGCTGAGCCAAGAAGGGCGGGGGGCGGAGGGCAGGCGGCGATGTCTTTGGTGCTGGTTAAACCTCCTGTAGAGTTAAGTGCAGTTGTAGGCTGCACATTGTAAAGGGGATGAGGAGGAATGAGAGAGGACAGCACAAAAAATGATACAGGGGTTGAGAGGAAAGATGAAATGAACTAGGTACATTGAGCTTGGACAAAAAGACTTATTAACGAGGGGGACACCATATCTGAAGGGCTGCTGTAAACAAGACGGAGAATATCTGCTCTTGCTGCAGAGGGCAGTGGCTTTGACTCGGGCGAGATCAGCGATTCTCAACCAGAGTGTTGCGAGATCCTTTTGAGGGTGTCCTGCAATTTTAGCACTGCTTGGTTTCCGAACACCTATGCATGATTCACAAGATAAGATAAACCCAGAGCTTTCACGCGGGAATTCATCGCATCAAAACCACTCTGGCCAATTGTGGTCTTTGCAACACCGCAGCCCGGCGAAGGGTATTGAAACCCGAAAGCTTGCTAAGAAGAACTTTTCCGACTATTTGAGTTGGTGTAATAAAAAGATATCAGCTTTACCCAAAAAAACCTTGTCTACTTCTCTTCTTTTTCTGCATTTAAAAAAAAAAAAAAAAAAAAGTGAGTGGCAGCGAAGAGCTGGCATTTTCCAAGGGTTGTCCTGAGTCTAAAAAGACTGAGACTCGGATATTAGGAAAAAAACATGCTTTCCGCGAGAACAGCGAGGCAGTGGAAGAGACCGCCCAGGGAACTGGCGGACTCCCCTTCATTGGAGGTTTGCAAGACGAGGCTGGGTAAGCATCAAATAAGGATGATCACGGGACTCCGGGAGCTGGGGCTTGGCGGGCAATGCAGGTCAAGGCTCCTGCCCCCCACCCCCATGGCAGGTTGGGCTGAGGGGGGGTGCCGAGTGCCACCCCCAGGCCCCTGGGAGCTCCCTGTGTCCAGCAGGGGGCGGGCTCCTTTAAGAGTCGCCTGTCCCTTTAAGAGTCAGCTCCGCTTCCCTTCTGTCCCGGAAGTGAGTGAAACCTCAACCTTTACCCCGGAAGGCGGCGGGGGGGGGGGGGGGGGAAGCAATTCATTAGTTCCCCGCGGAGCCGCACTCGACACCTCCCCCTCCACCCACCCCCGGTCTACATCCGGGCACTCCATTGCGCACGCGCAGCGCCAACACTGACCTCATCCCCACCCCCCCGCTGCGCGCGAGGAGGACTTGCATGAGGGAGCCGCTCTAGCTACGCGCCAGCGCTCTATGGTCAACGCGGCGGGGAAGCAGCGCGCATGCGTGAAGAATCCCCTGGAGAGGGCTGGGTGGGAGCGGGCGCTGGCGCATGCGCACCAGCGCCCGCCTGGCCCCGTGGGGCTGAGTGCGCCTGCGCGGGGCTCCATTCTCTCCAGCAGCAGCAGCAGCAGCGGGAGCAGCCGGCCACAGCAAGGCGGGCGCGA